CATGGATGGGATGCCAGTCTATCACAGGGCATGAGGAAGGGGACACCATGGATGGGATGCCAGTCTATCACAGGGCATGAGGAAGGGGACACCATGGATGGGATGCCAGTCTATCACAGGGCATGAGGAAGGGGACACAATGGATGGGATGCCAGTCCATCACAGGGCACAAGGTAGGGGGACACCCTGGACAGGATTCCAGTCCATCACAGCGCACACACTGACACACACCAAATCACCCAATTAAATGATTTTGGACTCCAAGAAGAAACATATACAAAAACGGGAGAAACATGCAAAATGAACATGCATGGTCAGGGGTAGGAATCAATCCCACAACCTTCAGTGTTTAGACGAACACTAAAAATGAAGTCTAACTTTATGGAACATGAATAACATGTATAGCAAGTGGTGTGACAGAATGAGAGGACAACTGGAGACCATACAGCCATTTTATCCAGTATAGGAACACGGGGGGCAAACACACAATGAGCAAGTCAGAGACACCAAGGAGAGAGAGCAGGGCTGGGAAGCTACAGTGTTACACAGCAAGCCACCAAACTGGGACCTATGACAGAAAATGGAAATCACAGTGTGGAATTAAACTATCAGCATCTTCAATTTAAGTAAAATAATCAGTGCCAGATTCATACAAATAAAAGTCCATCAACAGTCTGTGTAACATGTGCTGCTTGTTACCCTACACGTTAGCAGCAGAGATCCCTGCAAGACACATTTCCCATAAAAATATCAAATAAATTTCCAATAAAATCTCCAAACAAATAAAAGCTTTTACTGATTCATGTAATACAGACCTTAGACTTTTTATATAAAAAACCGACACATCACAGAACATAAGCCTAACACAGTGGTTGATACACAGATTTTTACCCATTTCTTGAAAATTCATAATTCATTATTTTATTTGTGTGACACATAACTCACAGTTACAAATGATTTACATTTATACTGTATAAATTTATCAATGAGTGCAATTAATAAGTAATGTGAGAAAGAAGCAATTGCAAAATAAATCTATGCCTTTTTCTACTTCCAGACAATGTAACTTGTGTGTAATTATCGTGGTGACTATTGGTTATGGACATAAAGGAACCCAATGGCAACAACAGTGATGTCAGCACACATCTCTACTGGCATTTATAGTGGTGGAGAAGACGGCTGGGTATATTTCCAGCATTACACAGGACAAGTTTACAGACTAATATTTGAAAAAACCTGCATAAGTAGGTAAATGAGCAAGTAGGCATTTTTCCTATGGTATTTTTAAAGTATGCAGTTAATGAAGAGGTAATGGTAATCAGGATGAAGGTAGAAAAAATATACTCAGGAACACGAGGATAAGGTGCAAAACGTAAAGTGTTACTAACATACATGACTATCACCTGGAGCTCAGAAGAGTATATACTATTACTACATTTTGTGTCTCCACAAGGTATAAAGTGCATTTAGCAAATTTATACAATATAAAATGCATTTTTTATTCAAACTATATAAAAATATTTCAGTATTTCATTTCACAGAAATCACCTATAAACGCTTCTGAATTTTGCTATAATCTATGCTTATGTTTATTACCGTAAATAGCAGTCTAACAGGCATGTCCTAACTGCTAATCTTGATATTGGGAAGTTGACCTGTAATTTTACAAATTACATTAATGACAATAAAGATAATGAACGTGTTTTTATGCTTCTGATGCACATGCTGACATAAAACTCTGGATGAATGCCGTCTCTCACCAGCAGATAGCGCTTAACAATAAAATTGACGTTTTAACCACAAGAGGGAGATGTTGCCGCTGTTTCAGACTCAAACTGTATTTCCCAGCTGAATCTGAAAAGATTGCCAAGTCCAATAAGCCAGCCGGGTCACCATTGCAGCTCCCTTCACTCTCTTCATCATTATCACTCTCACCTTATGCTCACCACTATCACTACTGCATGTCTTACCTTACCTGGAAGGTGACCTTATATAATGTCTTTTTTGAGGCTCCTGCTCTCTGAGTACATTTCCTGTCCTTCTTCAATGTTCCTGTATCTAGCAGTCAGTACATGAACCTCATTTTTCTGTCTTCTTTTGCTTTCATGATCTTTCTCACACTCTCACCTCTTAATCCCTTTTCCAAGCTCTGTTTAAACTGTCACACACAAAAGCCAGCCTCATGTAACTTCTATATCTAGGCTGTCATTTTTCATGCTTCCTAAAAAGTGGAGTGGTGGCTTTTAGTTTAGGGATCTGTACCAGCAACTGGAAGGTTGCTGGTTCAAATACCACAAATCTCTGGAGTGATTCTACTCTGTTGGGTCCTTGAGCAAGGCCCTTAACCTGCGATTGCTTCATCCTGGGAATGATGTTAATCTACATCCAGCCCTATAAGGAGCTCCTCCAACTTACAGGGGAAAAACTTGGAGGTTGGTGGCAGGATTTACACTCCAGCCACCAGAAAAAAACCTCACACTGGTCCATTCGGACTCATGTGGTGCTGAGGTATCGCCTGCCACATGGCTGCACTCAGATTCTCATCCCTGAGGTGGTTTGTTGGGTGCAGTGACAAACTGTAATCAGTGCCATGCTCCTTACCTCCGTCACCTCTAAGATTCCACAATTTGTTTACCTTCTCCATTCATTCTCTGCTGATTGACCTTTGTTTTTTAATACTGCTCTGTCTGCAGTGGTGTAGATGTGGGTACAGACAGTAAGGACATGTCCTTACTACATGTGCGGGAGTACCGTGTATGATTAGAGAAGTGGGGGGATTCAAGACTGATTTGTTCCCTGCTAATGCTGAAAGCAAACCTTCACCCTTGCCTGTCTATCTCACGCTCTGCCTCTGATTCCGCACCATGAGCTCACTGGCTCGTCTGCTCACCCTCTGATTCCATCTTCCTTCCTCACCTTACCTCGCTCAGCACTTATCCTCTCTTATAGGCCGTATCTCCACATTCCAGGCCACCCCACATAGAGTCCCCCTCCCCTGCCCTTCAGTGTGCATGGGCATGCATGAGGGATTCTCCCTGCGATGCCGGTGAGGGAGACTGGACACCCGGTGACGAGAGCTGCAGCGCAACTTCGTTCTCGTAACAGAAGGAGGCGCGGGAGCCCTGGATGAACTTCATCTCTGCCAGATCCTTGGCACTGCAGATGGGGGTGCTGGGAATCTCATATGTACAATGGAAATGGGAGTAATCCACCTGTGGGAGAGGCGTTTCCATGGGGTTAGTCAGCCGCAGAGGATGATGGGACACTGCAGAGGATGATGAGACACTGCAGAGGATGATGAGACACTGCATCGCCCCACTGAGGGACGGGGTGACATATTACAGATATAACAGCCGCACAGTACTGTGTATAGGGTGACCACCTAATCCATGTCAGGAGGGACACTATGAGCTACAACAGGATTTGTAAACCACCATTTCATACATTTCAATTAAAAGGAGCAGGATTTCACTTAAGCACTGGGTTCTTGCCGTGTGCTGATTGGTCAGTCTCCTATAATCATGCATTTGTGTCAGTAATGTTAATGCGAAACAGCTGGATGAGTCTTTCAATCTAGGAACTAACCAAACATTTTAGCAGAGCACAGAACCCTTTCAGCTTTAAAGTAGTTCGTAAAAGCTGAAGTAGCTCAGAGTGTCCCTCCTGACATGGATTAGGTGGTCACCCTAACTGTGTATCAAAGAAAATGTTTAAAGCTGTTTATCTAAGTAGGAAGGGCATACTTGCTCAGAAAATACCACAATTTAACATTAGAACATATACAAATTAAGAGTAACGATAAAAACTAACAGGCAATTTTCTGTTTTCCAAAAAGTTGCTGATATCTTACTGGATGGCTAGATGAACGCCGCTTCGGTTCCCAAACCTCTCCTCAGGGGCACCTCAGCCATTCCAGGTATTTGTTACATTTCACCACCAGCTCAGTTAATTAATTAATTTATTTATTAGCCACACAAAGTGTGCTAGTGGCTGAGGCAAAAAGTATGTGGGTGTTTTTTTCCAGCTGCTGCAAATACTGGGGTGACTTTCGGGGGGGTTTTGAAATGGCCAAGCTGAGCCACTTTGACAGACAATACCATAGCATTACACCAGCATGAAGATCATTTAATCATCATTTAAACACCGGACCTACACCCCAGTACAGGATAAATTCATGTCACTCAATCAGCAGCCCTGTAACAGGAGTCTCACCTCATAGCAGTTCTTCCTCTCAAATAGCACGGGTTCGAAGCGGTGACCCCACAGGATCTCGGAGGCCAGGTAGGAGCTTCGGCACTGGGTGGTCATGGCGGTTGCCTCCACCATGCCTTCCAGGATGACCAGCACCTCCAGTTCGCTGTCGCTCTCCAGCGTCCGCTTGTCCATCTCGAAAAAGGGGCTCTCCTCGTTGATCTCGTGCACAATGGTGATAGGCGACACCAGGAAGATCCGGTCCGTGCCCGTGTCAAAGCCCACGTTGATGTCCACGTGATCCAGTGGCAGGTACTCCCCCTCCGGGGTCACTCTGGGCTGGTGAGAGGCCAGGAGGAGAGGGCACACGTTTAAACACGAACTGAGTGGCTCCAAACTGGAACACACCGAATCATTGCTGACCAAAGGATATTGAATCATAACTTGTCTCACTGTATTCTCCGTATAAAATCATCTGAGTGGGAGAGATGCACAGACATCTGCAGTTAATTCATGCTTTTACTGTCATGCAGAATATATGTTCCCACAGAAACATGATTAACCACAAAAGCAAACCCATTACAAGTCCAGGTTGCTCCCAGAAAGAAAACACAAGCAACAGAGGATGCAGTGATTCATGTTGTGGGGGCGCAGTGGGGAGGCAGTGGGGAGCAATGGGGGGCACCGTGGGGGCATGGTTACCCTGGCAGGCTTGAGGGCACCTGGGACTTTACAGGAGCCCTCAAATATGTGCATGTATAAAATTATATAATGTAAGAGGAACGGGGGGTTGGCAAGGTGACATTTTGTTCAGGGGCTCAGCAATTCTGTCAGCCTGACATGAGCTCCCATCACAGCTAGTGATTTGGGGGTCGTGATAGAGCTACTGCTTTGGAGTCACTGAGACTAATCCCGGCCAAATCTTATAAACCCCAGAGAACAAAACAGGGTCTCATTAAACGCAGGCTGCAGCCCAGATGGTCTCTCCTCCCTCTTCCCCCCCTCTCCAGCCCCCGAACCTTCTACTTCTCATCTGCAGCTTGTGTTTCATGCTGACTTACAGAAATATGCTGTCTGGGCACAGGCCAAACATGCAGGTAATATTTAGCGGCAAACCAACCAGGAATGAAAAAAAAAGTGTTTTTTTAAGTAGAAACATTATGGAAATGCTGCGTATGCTGCCCCAGCCTCCTGTACTGTAGGTGTACCACTGTCCCACTGCGCCCTCTGCTGGATGGGCAGATGATGGCTGGGTGGAGATGTCGTCAACCCAATATCTCTGTACTATTTTATTAGTAACTTCTGGAGTAAATCCTGCACTGGTTGCCATACAGGGTATTTTGAAAGAGCAGACAGACACATTATACAGATTAAAAAAACAGGTTCAGGGAGAATAAGGTACTTTGATTAATCTCTTCTGACTATTTTTTGTCAATTTCTGTTTGTCAAACACGCCACAAACCATGTTTTAAATATCAGATTTGTGGTTTGTAAAACACAGACAGTCTGTTTAACATTTCGGCTGCCGGTTAGCAGATCTGCAGATGGATGTCGCCTTCCTGGTACCCTGAGCTACCTGAAATACATAGAGTCCAGACTGAAGTTGTGTTTTTAATTTACTTGTGGTATAGAGGAACTGATACTGCATATAACAAAACTTAATACACCCAAATATACAGCACAAGATAGGTAATGTAGGAGCCTTTTGGGATTTTCAGAAAAAAAAAATTATGTTGCGGACGGGAAATGGGAGCCCAGTGAACACAACTTGGACTTACAGTCCTCTTCATTCGTATGTCTGAAAGTTCGTAAGTTGAAAGTTCGTAAGTAGAGGTGCATCTGTATATAATTTCAGTTATAATATAATATACTGCAAACTATTTAAAGACAGGATAAGATGGTTAGGGACATGATTAAGTGGCTGGGGACATGGTCAGGTATGAGGAGGTGGCTGGTGATGTGGTCTGGTGACTTAAGATGTGATCAGCTGGCTGGTGATGAGGCCACGAGGCTGGTGATGTAGTCAGGAAGCTGGTGATGTGGTCTGGTGACTGGGGACTGGGGTGGCCTACATCTCAGCACAAGGTGTGTTTGCAGGCAGGCTGTATATATGGTACCCCTACAGGTTTAAGATGTGCATCACCTTGAGTAGCTGGGCACGGACGTGGGCCTCCACAAGGTGGCTCTTCCTCAGGTTTCCCACCCGCCACATCATGCAGAGCTTCCCGTCACGCAGGGCCACCACCGCCTTCTCCGAGAACACCAGCGTTTCGTTGCGCTTCTTGGGCTTGGCGATCTTGGCCATAACCGCCCCGATGATGAAGGCGTCAATGATGCAGCCCACAATGCACTGCAACACGACCGCCAGCACCGCCAGAGGGCAGGCCTCCGTCACACTGCGGGAGCCATAGCCAATGGAGGTCTGAGTCTCCAGGGAGAAGAGGAAGGCTGCCACGAAGCCATTCACCTGCTGGAAGCAGGGCTCCTCCTGCGGCTGCTCCTTGGCCGGAGGCGTCAGGTCGCCGTGGGCGAAGGCGATGAGCCAGAAACTGAAACCGAAGAGCAGCCAGGACAGCAGGAAGGAGAGAGTGAAGAGCAGCAGCATCCAGCGCCAGCGGACGTCCACACAGGTGGTGAAGAGGTCGCTGAGGTAGCGCTGGCCCCTCTCACTCATGTTGATGAAGGCGACGCGGCATCGCCCGTCCTTACCCACGAAACGGCTTCGGGGTCGCCGCCGGCCGCCGCGGGGGAAGGGGTAAGCTGGGGCAAAGCCTTGGTCTGGGGAGGGGGGGATACCCCCTGTGGACCCCACCCCCCCAACTGCCAAGCAAACACCTCCCCCAACACTATTCACGCCACTCCTACCCACGGTGCCGTTTCGGGTGGGGCTGGCGTCGGCAGAGGTCCCAGCGCTGCCCGCACCCCCCCCGATCCCAGCCATCTCGGCAGCGCTCTGGGTCAGGTGCAGCACCTCCTCCTCGTCCAGAGGGCTCTCCACCGCCACGCTGAAGCGTCTCTTCACACGTGCCGCCCCCATGGCTGGACGTCTTCCGCCGCTTTCGATGAGAACGGCAATGCCTTTCTACACCCCTGCACCGCCAATTCCGTCATGGGCACCACGTCTGGCACAGCAGAGTCGTCCTCAAGAGTCACAAATGCATTGAAACAACATTTCACACAGTACATATTTCACCGTGTTTCATTTACAGGACATCAGTGTACTTTTTAGGTCTGAAGCACAGTGATGTATGTTCATTGGTGTGGGTGCATTTACCACATTGAAAGTATTCAGAGGCAAACACAACGGAAAACTTCCAAAATACGAAGGAAATAAGAATGTAAATTTCAACCTCTGCAGGTGTATGATTTTCCTCTTATAGTTAATTAATCTTATATTCTTTTACAAAGAGCAATTTGTGTCCAGTGGAAGTGTGTGTCTGGGGTAATCGAGGTTTTCACAGGACAAACAGATAATTAATATTAAGATCAACAGATCAGAAAGTCAGTAGTCCATACAGGGGTTTGGAGATCTCTTAACCCTTGCCTGGTCTTTAGGGTGCCTTTCTGTGCTGCAGTAAAGCTCAACAGATGTCTTTAGTCAATATATCTGTTAGTGGATTTTATTTTGCAGGTACCTTGATCCAAGCTTGTGTTCATGTGTTTTTAATCTAATTTAATTTAGGGAAAACACAAGGCTCTTAAAAGGCTGTTTATGCTCCATCAATGACCTGCATGAGTTAAAGCCATCCAGCAGAGGTCTGGATAATGAAGATCTCACTTTATAATATTTCCCCAGCCAATGCTGAGTGAGCTAATGTACATCAGAGAATGGAAGCACTTTGTTTGAACTCTGAGGGGAGCCGTTAATACGGTGAATCAGGCTGCTTAACAGTTAATACCTGGGTCCATTTCTGGGAAATGGGAAATGGTTTGATGTTCCACCAGGCAGGGATCTGCCTACATGAAGGTATCCTGGTTTGGTCAGAGTTCCTCGCTTCACAGCTGAGGCTTTAGCCAAAAGCCCATTGCCTAAGTCACAAACATACACCTGAGTAATATGAAAAAATGTTCTCTTTTGCTGTGCACAAACTATTCTTGTTGGTTGACGATGGTGTTACCAGAAATACTAGATTAACAGTTAAGTTCAATTAAATTCTGTGAGCACCTTATAAACTCATTGAGCCATTCATCCAGAGTTTTTACTGCAGGCCAGTGGATCCTGAATGGACTCTGGGAGTGAGGTTACTCGTATGGCCCAGGCGCTGGAGGAAGAGGGAGCAGTCTGGGGCTGGCAGTTGGAGGCGGAGGGCTGGCTGTAGCAACCAAGCCAGCAGGGGGGGTATAGAGGTGAAAAGAAACACCACACAGGTTAATACAGTAAAGGAATACAGGTAAGGAAAGTAAGGGTCAGAGCAACTAAATGCTGTTACATAAATAAACAGAAATTCCTTAAATAAAAACAGGATTTTCACCCTTCATCAATAAGTGTATGAAACGGTAAATTCCTGGGTCACATGATCAAGTGACTGAGTTTGGACGGTGATGCAATGTGAACCTGCAGGCTACTCTTTCTGAGACTAAGAACCATTCATATGGGCTTCCTACCCAACAGCAACATGAAACAGAGACCTGCAGAAGAACAGATGGATCTCAGTGGGTCCTCAAGGAGCAGCAGGAAGTATTTCTACACTGAGTCACTGTGCGGTTTTGTAAAGAGAAGGTGTCAAAGAAGAAGATATGGCAGGAACACCCCGAACTGACAGGATAGACGAGGCTGAACCCCGGCAAAGTGACCTTCCCAACAGCTGCACATTATTACTGAAAACTGCAAAGCTCCGGTACCTTACAGGATGAGACCATCTGCTCGGTTCATGACTTCTGCTTTAAACGGCTTAATCCACTGGACCCACCCCCTCCTGCACAGATCTATTATCGCTCCTCTCTTCATCGAGCTCCCAGAAGCCCATCCAGCTCGCTGCCACGCATTTCATTCCAAAATCAATGTGGACAAACTGGGTTCATTATGCCGATTTCAGTATCTCCCTGCGATTAGACCGATTGAGCGCCACAGTGCCCAGTATTGAAGGGGATTCTAAACTTTATACTGTTTGTCCAGAGAACCAGCAAAGCTGTTAGAAATGAATGAGGCATTTCAGTCAGAGTAAGCAGGATCGCTCACACCTCTTTCCTAACTCCAATTTCTGTAAATTGTAATGCAATACAATGAAACACAATATCTTGGGGACGTTGAATTACATTTTCATCAATAACTAAATATTTTTTCATTAAAAGAAGCATAAATAAATCACTCTGAGTGACAATATAAGCGAAAGTGAAAATGGTTAAAGTGACGTTGACAGAGGAATCCAGACCACGTGTCGTTCCTGCTCAGAAACCGGCGGCTTGGGTCTCCATAGCGACCCTCTGCCCCATTTTGGAAAGGAACGAGGGATGGAGGGGGGGAACGGGGATGAGGTGATGCAGACTTGCGGATGCCGCTGTGTGTGAGCCTAGAGCGCAGGGAGTCGGCAGGCCTCCACATGGAGGCGGACTGCTAGTGGGCGGAGCCCCGGCAGCTCCCAATGCGGCAGGCCGCTTCGTAAGGGACCCTGCCTGTGGAAAGTGACACCGCCAGCAGCCGAATACCAGTATTGCATGTGCAAACTGACCTCTGTATGGATCAGTGTATATATGATTATTTACAGTAATGCGTGATGAAGTTTGTGTGGTGAGTAGCTGTATCACAGAACAGTCTAATGGGATTATAGTGATGATGCCAATCTTTATAATTTGGCCCCTTTAAATTAGGCAGCCAACATGCTATTTTGTATGTTGAGCTTATTCTATGCCAAAAGTCCTAATAAAAGCCCCCCTCTGCTTCCACCCCCATGCCCTGTGGATCTGCCCACCACCCAAAAGACCCGAAAGTGCCAGAGTCAGAATGGAGACAGGGAGTGTGAGCACAGGCTGCTGTCTTAGCTCTCCGCAGCCGGACCCTGCTGCCGCAGGCTGCACTACAGCAGCAGCCTCTCCGGAGAGCCCTCGCCCCTAGAACATCGATGTGTTTATACTCCACAGGGCTTTTCACCGCTGATGGTGCAGCAGCTCGTGGTGCACGTGTCGCGCACTGTCATCAGTCTGCCGCTAAGTGTTCTAGCTAATAAGAAACACTCTCCAACTTTCAGAGAAACATTCACCAGTCAGCCATAACATTAAATCCATCTGCCTAATATTGTGTGGGCCCCCCTCATGCTGACAAAGGGACTCTAACCCGGCGAGGCACGGACTCTGCAAGACCTCTGAAGGTGTCCTGTGGTATCTGGCACCAAGACGTTAACAGCAGATCCTTTAAATCCTGTGTGTCACGAGGTGGGGCCTCCATGGATCGGACGTGTTTGTCCAGCACATCCCACTGATGCTCGATTGGATTGAGATCTGGGGAATTCGGAGGCCAAGTCAACACCTCCAACTTGTGTTCATGTTCCTCAAACCATTCCTGAACAGTTTTTGCAGTGTGGCAGGGTACATTATCCTGTGGAAAGAGGTCACTGCCATCATGGAATACAGACAATGTTTAGGTAGGTGGTACATGTCAAAGTAACATCCACATGAATGCCAGTGCCCAAGGTTTCCCAGCAGAACATATCTGTGATATTGTAATAATTCTATTCTCTTATTTTTTTACTACATATTTGCCTTTGTTACTTCTATTATATATTTATAAATGTTATTTTGTATATATTTTGATATTTACCTAGTTATTTATTATTTATTTTTGCTTTTCTTTAGTCGGTGGGTCTAAAGGGGGGGCAAAACAGTCTATATATGTCAAAGGTGTTTTATCCATCCATCCATCACCATAACCGCTTAATCCCAACTGGGGTCAGGGGTGGACTGGAGTCTATCCCAGGAACAAGAGGCGCAGGTGGGAACCAACCCTGGGCAGGTGCCAACACAAAGCAGGGAGCACACACTCACAAAGCCGCTTTAGCCAATTTAGACTCGTCAAAAAGTGTTTTATTCTTTTTAATTTTTTAATTAAGTGCTTTTTAGGTGTTTGCTGACTGAGAAAATGACCCACGACGAGTTAAAACATAAATGAGAAAACACAAAGGATAGGGTGACATACTGGCTGCTTGCCCTGTCGCTGCATGCTGTACTGTCCCAAAGGTGTCCCCAGTAAGCACAGGAACTGCGGGCAGGGCCCAGCATGACTCTCCCCTCCCAGAACGGTGATGGACACACCTGCTATAATTAACCTCCAAGTGCTTCACGAGCCATGTACCGCTCACTGTCACTGCACTGCTCACTGTCACGGCACCGCTCACTGTCACTGCACTGCTCACTGTCACTGCACCACTCACTGTCACTGCACCGCTCACTTTCACCGCACCGCTCACTGCGAGGGCCTCGTCCTGCCATGACATGAACCCCTCGTATGTCTGCAGCCCTTGCTGGGGACAAAAACCAGGCAGTTCTCAGCTGAACAGTCATGGTGTCTCAGGGAGAGTGGAACAGAGGGTTGTCACACCCAGTCCTTCATAGGTCACGGAAACACACACAACCACACACACTCGGTCTGTAGAGGAGCATCTGGGACTGCTCACATTGGCTGTCTGACCGCCCCCCCATGTCAGCACATAGGCATGCAGGGAAGAACCTCAGGCTCAGCTGACCAGCCGGGGCATGAATCAAACCCACAGCCCCCCTGTAGGGGGCAGTGCACCCCAAGTTTCTTACCCTCATTAATGTCATAAAAATTGATAGATTTATGTAAATAAAGATACCATCTATAGCATAGCCAGATGTGTCAGTGCATTTACATCCAAATGACACATCAGAATCGTAAATGTCCCCTGAAATATCTACCATCACAGCTTCAGGTGTTCAGGTGAACCGTGGAAAGTCAGTATAAGGAATAAGATTGTCCTTCATCACGCGCTTGGAGGCTAACGGGCAGGACAGGGGCGTCATCATCCGCATGATGGTGGTGCTGACGTGTCCTGCCACCCCACCCCCACTCTCAGTGACATGCAGAAGTGTTTTATTCACACCCTTTCCCTGCGATAGACGTGCCCCCCCCCCACACACAGCCGACCAGGCATGCTGTGATAGTGAAGGGGATTGGGTCTTAGTAACTCTCCTCTCTGCATTTTCTCACACCCCAAGGACAGGAAACCACGCAAATGCATGTCCTCACTCACAATGGGTCAGGGGACCTGTCTGTCCTCGTTTGCCATGGATTAGGTAGCCTATCTGTCCTCATTCGCCATGGGTCAGGCGGCCTGCCTGTCCTCATTCGCCATGGGTCAGGGGACCTGTCTGTCCTCGTTTGCCATGGGTCAGGCGGCCTGCCTGTCCTCGTTTGCCATGGGTCAGGCGGCCTGCCTGTCCTCG